TTTCTTTTTGTGTACATCTGAAAAAATTAATTGTTAGAAATCTGATTACCGGACCAGGAACCATAAAAGATTAAGAAGAATATGACCAAAATTAGGAATAACGTGGTGTTTGACTGCCATCGGTTGTGAAAATAAACGAGGGGTTGCATGCGTAAAACATATTCGAAATATTTAACAAACATGTAACAAATATACGGAAAGTTTAAATCCCAAGGAGTCGAAGTAAAATTGTGCAAAGATGAGGGGCCGTAATTATAGAAAAATAAGATTATATATATACCCACATATATATATAAATAGATTAAATTAGTTTTTTATTAAGTTAAGAAACGAAAATTATTAAAGAAAACCAAATTATAAATATTATGAAGAATAAATATGAAAATTTAAAAAATAAAAGAATAAAAGTGATGTTTTATAAATTTTAAATGAAATGAGTCAAAATAACATTTAAAAAATAAAGATGTAGAGAATATCATTTTATAAAGTATTTTAAAAGATGAATGATAGAAAATTATTATTTTACAAAGTAGAGTGATAGCAAATTCCCAATGGAAACATCCACCACGACTTGAATAAAAATAAATAATATGTAAAAAGTTAAAAAAAAAAAAAAGTTATTCCCTTGATATAGAAATTATTAAATAAAATCAGATTATATATAATACAAAGATAAATACAAAATTTAGAAAATAAAAATAATATTTTATAAAATTCAAAGTATACAAAGTTGAAGGATGAAAAATATCATTTTATAAGATAGAATGAATTTGTAAAATAATGAAGTTGAAAATAACATTTTAAAAAATAAAAAAATAGAAAATATCATTTTATAAAAAAATTATGAAAAATTAAGAGGTAAAAACAATAAATCTTAAAAATAAAAAGGGTTGCAAGTACTGTGGAAACATCACAGCCAACACTTGCATTTGGTATAATAAATAGTAAATGCCTAAATAGAACCAAGAAGCTCGTCTAAACCGGTTAGTACAAGTTCAATCTAATTTTAATCTCAATTTAATTTTTAAACAGTCGTAACCTACTTTGAAAGTTATTGCATATATAATAACGTATTATGCTATCCAAATTTATAATATCATCCAAATTTTATACGTTTGTCGAAATTTATAATAATAATAATAATAATAAATAAGAATTAAAAACAATAAAAAATAAAATAGGGAAAAAAAACAACAACAAAAAACAAAAAAATCATATAGAAGAGATGGAATTGAAAAATATAGCATTAGCCTTAAAATTATTGATAATTATTTTGTTACATTAACCGTAACAATAATCACAATATGTAAGTAAATTTATATATCTAAAGTTTGTTATTAATATTTTTGTGTTTAATTCTTATTTTATTCTGATTATAATTCTTTTATTACATAATAATAATAATAACAATAATAATAATAAACAAGTCAAAAGACTGGAACAAACTATATTATTACTTTTCAATTTCTATCAACCATTTTCTTTAAAATATCTAGATGAATTTAATAAGAAATTTGAATAAGATGACATATCTATTTGTCATTTAATATACTAAATTTTACAATGTCACCAATCTTCAATACATTTGGAGTTCCATGATTATTGGACTTGGGAAAAAGAAAAAATTTTAATTCTTAAATATATAATATAAACTGATTTTTATATCTTTTAATTGAATTTTATAAATGCAATCTAAGAAAAAATAAAATATAGTCATATGAAATGTAAAGTCGATCCCCCTAATCTAATAACCCCAAACGAAGCGTTCAGTTGACTGTTGAAGCTAATCTCTCGCCCGCCAAAACCTTAACAATAATGGAAGATGGTCAAACCCTGGAACTCTATGATCTCCATTACTCTGATCTTATGGCATTGTCTTCTTCAGATCACCGGTTACCAACAACTTCCGAAAACACCTCATATTTGGAATCAGTGATGACCACGGTCATGAAAAACCTAGGCCCGTCGGGTCCTGGTCTTCTTGCCGTCACCGGAATCCCCAATGCTTCCGCTCTCCGCCAAACACTGCTTCCAATGGCTCGAAAGCTTGCTCTTCTTAACAATGAAGATCGCAAACACGTACTCAAGGTAATGCGTTTGATAACACAAAAATAAGTTGTTGATTCGAGAGATATTGCTTACCTGTTTGATGAAATGCCTGAACCAAGTGAACTAGCTTCTGAGTTTTGATCTTTTTTAGTTGGATTGATCAGCTAGTTTTGAATATAGAAAGAGAGTTATTGCTTACATATTATGTTCACAAAGGGGTGTTTGGATGTGCTGCCAGCGATCAGGTATCTAATGTTTATCTATTTGGATTACGATTCTGATTTTAACAATTAAATATAAACTACCTGACTCTCGTCAGATCTAAGCTATATCATTCAAATTCTTGAAGTTTGCAATAAATCACTTTCACTTCTAAATCATATCATTCAAACTTTTGAAGTTCGCAATATATCACTTCTGAGATTGCACATCCAAACACCCCCTAAATTGTAACAGAATGATACGATTTCTTTCAAAAACCTGAGTTATTGGAGGCATGTCTGCAGGATCATGGGTTAGGGAGTGATGTTCCACTGAAGAACATAGATAGAACAGTTTCCCCTTTCGCTATGCAATTAAAATACAACCAAGACCTAGACATGACCTTAAATCATTCAGAGACTACAGGTCACAGTTCAGATCTTGAGAGTCTGAATGAATTCAAAAATCTTGGGAACATATTCAAAGAGCTAGGAAATTGCATGATGGATCTAGGCATTCAAGTAGCAAGGGTGTGTGACAAGTTCATTGGTGGACATGAGCTAGAGCAAAGCTTACTAGAATCATGCTCTGCTAAAGGGCGTCTTATTCACTACCATTCATTTCAAGATAACCTTATTCTACAAGCTTCAAATACCAAACAAACCCAAAACAAGACACTCAAAAAAACCAATAGTAATCACTCTGATTTATGGCAGCAGTGGCATTATGATTATGGTGTGTTCACTGTTTTGACAGCTCCAATGTTTATATCTAATGAATCTTCCCAATCATATGATGGACAAGAATGCCCTTCCCCTAGTGGACATACGTATTTGCAAATTTTTGATCCGAATAAGAACAGTGTTGTAATGGTGAAGGCACCTGTTGGGAGTTTTATTGTTCAAGTAGGGGAATCAGGTGATATATTGTCAAAGGGGAAACTTCGTGCAACTCTTCACTCTGTTTGTAGACCTAAAAATTTGGAAAACATGAGCAGGGAGACATTTGTTGTGTTCTTGCAACCTTCATGGAACATGAAGCTTTCTGTTTATGATTTTTCTGTGGAACATTTGAGTTTGAATGATGGGTATTCAAGAATATGTAATGAGGATAATCGGATTCAAAATCCAAGTTTGGATGTTGGAAAATTAGTTCCACCACTTTGTGATCGATTGAAAGATGGAATGACATTTGCAGAATTCTCAAGAGAAACAACAAAGCAATATTATGGAAGCAGTGGAGTGCAGTCGAAGAATAGATAGAATGGTGGAAAGATGATTGGCTTTGCCTAATTAACATGTTGATAACAATGTGTTGAATCGCTAAAACTATGAAAGTTGTTTGATTTGATTTTCGTAATCATTGGAAATCATCTACAATGGTGGAAGATGATTGACACAATGAGTTTTGTTAATGCAACTCTGAAAGCTATTTAGTCCAATCCATTACAACATTTTTACACCCAAATGGTGTGATTTTTAGTATAAATCCAAACTAATTACACCAATTTTAACACCTAAATATAGATATACAATAATCCTTATATTTATTAGTATATTTACAAATTGGATCCAGTTTTTTTATTATTATAGTAACTTTGTACGTTATATTATTAGATTAGATATAATAAAAATAAATTATTCGTATATAATAAGATTCAAAGCATAGAAATTGAAGAACTACGTTTAATATAAAACGAAGTATTGAATTTTCAAATGAGTTTGAAACATAAAAAAATTAAATTTGATATACATAATATATTGATGTCCGCTTAATTTTGTACTACAATATCACAAAGAAACAAATAACCATTATGTAATTAAATAAAGGGTTTTTGTCATAAAAGCCCTCAATTTTACACAAAAAAACCAGTTATGTCCAAAGTCGTTTTTTTTTTTTTGCCACAGATGTCTCAAATACCGGATAATTGGTTCGATTTTGCTATTTACCTTGATTTTACCTTCTATGGCCGGTAGCCCACCTGGTCGTTTTCTCAAACCCTCTTTGCCTCCACCACCATCTTTGATTTTCCCTTCACCACCATCAACTGCTTCGATTGACGGGATCCAAAGAAACAAGAAAAAAATTGCAGCTCTCTCACTCTCCAAAATCGTTTGAAGGTTCTTCTTCCTCTTCTGATTTCACAGCTCTCTCACTCTCTTCTCTTGCTTTGTATTATCGATCTTCACTCACCTAGTAAGACCTCCGCCTCCAAGCATCGTATGCGATACAGAGGAACACACACATTGATTTGGACCTGCAAATTAATTCATCAATGAAGAAGAGAACTTGTGTTCTTAATTCATTAAGATTATCAAACACACAAGGGTGCTAGAATTGAGATTAGTCCCTATGATTTGCATGTCTCTTTTCTCTTGCTTTGTATTATTGATCCACACTCACCAAGATTCATAGCTTCCTTCTCCCTTTTTTCCCTCAAATTGAATAGAAGAATTGAGTTTCACCCCTTAGGTCGATTAACAAGTTAAATGTTTCTTTATTGCTTTCTATGTGTGCACTCTTCTCAGAAAGAAACTGACTTCAAAATTGAAGTATCAATCCCCTTCTTTTTCTCTTAATCGATGGTGGACTAAGGTGATGGTAATGTTGTTTATATGTGTTAATGGTTTTTTAGATTTTTATGTTGCAATTTTTGTTTTTGGTGTTCAAATGTGCTTATCAGTGCTAGATGGTGTTTGTGTGGGTGGTATCCGTTGGTTCTGAAAAGGTGAAAAGGGATGATTGTCGATCCAGATGGGGTTTTTCACATCTGGGTTCTTCATCACCAAGCACCCACCTTCACCATCACCATTGTTGTTCTTTCTATTAATAACTTGCAACTAGTTAAAAAGAAGGGGATGGGCTGATTTTGTAATCCATCGTCTTTCATAACACCTGCTCAACTAGAAATCGGAAATTGGTATGTAGATCAATGATTTGTTTTCGATCAGAAGATGGGAGAGAGAGAGAGAGAGAGAGAGAGAGAGAGAAAGGATATTGATTTTGATGATCGATGTGGTGGGGATGGTGGATGATGGACGATAGTGGTGGTAATGGTGGTGGTTTGTGTGTGGCTGATGGTGGTGTTGGTAGCAAAGGGCGGTAGTGGTGGAAAAGTGTGGTGCTGGAGGTGATAAGTAAATATAAGGGCTTTTATGACAAATGTGACTGGCCCCAGAAGGTAAAACCAAGGTAAAGGGCAAAATCGAACCAATTATCCGGTATTTGAGGCATCTGTGGCAAAAAAAAAAAAAAAAAAAACAACTTTGGGCATAACCGGTTTTTTTGTGTAAAATTGGGGGCTTTTATGATAAAAACCCTTAAATAAACTAAAAATGCATAACATTTAAACATAAGGATTCAACGAAAAACGAAAGTTGAACACCAAATATGGGGCAAATAAACAGTATATTACAAAGAAACAAATAATCATTATGTAACTAAATAAACTAAAAATACATAACATTTAAACCTACGGATTCAACTAGAAAGAAAAAAGTTTTAACACCAAATATGGAGCAAATAAATTGTAAACACCAAATTTGGTGGTTTACTAGTTGCCGACACCAAAATCCAAAATGATGTAACAATTGCTATTGGATTGGAGAGATTTATCATCAAATTTCATATATATGTTTTTATCTTTTTTATTGAAATATACAACTATATATAACGCAAAAAGAAAACCAAACTAGCAAAAAGCGAAATTACAAAAAGTTCAAGGGGTTTTTAAACCAACTAAGTCTATCTATATTACATTTTGTATTTCTATTAGCATACCAAATAAAAGAGAATTGACAGATGGAACCAATAATATTGCTTTGTTTGAGAGTGCCTCCTGAAAAAAAAAATTGTTATTCCTGAATCTCCATATATACTAGATTCTCGTGCAAAAAAATCACATCGACCACACTTTTTTTACTTTAGCACGACATGCATTTGCTCAATACCCAAAAAAGAAATCATTAACCGTACCCACTTGAAAAGGAAAAATATCCGACCATTTAAACATTACATTCCACGTTTTGGCAGCTACCTCGAATTTAAGAAAGAGATGATCAAAATTTTCAACCTCCAACTCACATAAAGGACACATGATGAAAGCAACTTCAACACCCAATTTCGAAAGATTATAATTAGCTGAAACTCTACCTCTCAAAACATGCCAAATCAATATATTAACCTTTCTAGGAACAAAAGCATTCCATTTAGTTTCCATACCAGAATTAGGAAGAATAATCTTGTCAATCCATCTTCTTGTGGCACTCACATTGAAACTACCATCCTCTCCAATCCCCCATATCCATCAATCCATATTCTCGTTCATATGAACCTCCAATAAGCAATTCTTCAATTCCATATATTAGGTCATTTCAATACCACTTCTAATTGGCTGCCTCCATTTCAAATCCATGGACCATCACATATACAATTAGCAAGGATGCAATCTCTATCAACCTCCAATTGGAATAGTCTTAGAAAATGAGTAGCTATGTAACATTCAGTTCAGGTGAGCAATTGTCAAATTTTAAAGTTAAAAGGTTTAACCATACTCACGATGTGAGATATGTATGCCACGTCGTAAGGAGGTTAGCGCAACCACACAATATCTATGGGCTCACGATATGAGCACTTATGGATCATGACATGAGATAAGCCTGGGAAGAAACCCTAATTTTGGGGGTTTTTATTTTGTACTTAAAGGAAGTGAGTACTAGGGTTACCCACCTTCAACCTCTATTTTCACTCCCCTTTGAAATCCTAGTATTTGATCTTGAGTTTATTTGTGGTGATTCTATCCAAGGAGAAGAAGAAGAAGAAGAAAAAGAAGAATAAGAAGAAGAAGAAGAAGAAGAAGAAGAAGAGAATCTTGTCCATCATTTCTGCATTCAAGTCTCTCCATCAAGCATTCTCACACCTTCTGGACCTTTTGTGAGCTTCAAATTCATTTCTTTTTGAGTCCACAAGATTAGATCTAGGTTTTTATGCTTTATCCTTTTGTATTCAAGTTGATATGGTGGTTGGAGTCCATAATGTTGCCAATTTTATGGATCTCCAGTGTCCCGTGAGTAGTATAGATGATATATTTGGAGTATGGTTGAGTTTTGAAACTCTTGCATGAGATTTGGTGTCATTTTCCTCTTTTTCGCCCTAGCTAGTGTTTGTCCAAAAGCCAAGATTTTTATGATGTTCTAGAGCAAGTAAGACTCTATGGAGGATTTGGTTGCTTGGCCAAAAAGGGATTAAGAGTTTCATTAAGAACTTCTGATCAGAGCATTCTCACGACGTGAGCACCATAGTGTCACATGTGAGGATGGTATTCCTCGATTGTTTTGGCTTATTAGGTCATGACGTGACCATTAGGGGTCACGACATGACTAGCGGATTGTGGACCTTCACATATTGATTGATTTTTTACTTCGACCATGGTTTGATCGGATTTGACTTAAGGGTATTTTGGGTATTTTGAGTCGTATTTGAGATTAGTCACTATTTTATGAATAGGTGATTGGTAGAGCTGGCATTTAGAGCAGTATCATGTTCAACAAAATTTTGAGACTTAGAGATGAGTTTTTCTCACTGTACTTGTGGGTCAAAGCCACCAAGTCCATCCCATTGGATTTGTTATCTTAATATATTAATAAATGTTATGCTAAGCATGTGGTAGATTTGTATGATTTCCTGAATTATTGGATATATGTTAGATTGGTAGATCTGTAGGACTACCTATATTTGTTGGTTATTGATTGCTATGATATTTGTTGATGTGTTATTATCGGTTGGGTTAAGGCGGCCCTGCTTTGTGCTGAAGGCCAAGATACCCAGGGCGGTATGGATAGGTTGAAGGCCTTCAAGGCGGTCCAATTAGGCAGAAGGCCCGGAGAGCTGTCCAGATAGGCTATAGGCTCGATGTAGTGGTCCAGTCATGTTGGAGGCTCATAAAGCGGTCCAGATAGACTGTAGGCCCGGTGCGGCGGTCCGGGCATGCTGAAGGCTCATGTATGCATGTTGTTATTTGTATGGTTGTGTGTGGTACTTTGGGTAAACTCATTAAGTGATGCTTATGGTTTAAGTTTTGTTTTAGGTACTTTTTATGATCGTGTCAAGGCGAAGGCATGACCATACACATCCTTTAGTGTTATGATTTAGATATTTATGATATATTGATCTTGGGAAACATTTGTGTTGTGATATTCTGATTTGAGATTGGGTTTTTCTGAAACCAATGATTTTCTTTAAAAAAAAATTGATGTATTTTTGGGATGTTACAAGTTGGTATCAGAGCTTTGGTTTTAGAGAATTGGACGAGCATTATTGTGAATCCAGACTCAAACTAAGGATCTGTAAAGTTTTCAAAATAATTTCCATAATAACTTCCAATTGGTTTTCAAAAGTTGCTTTCAAAAATTGTTTTCAAAAGATAAACAGAAAAGGAAGCAATGTGTACTATCAGCTGAAGC